TTTATTTGAACCTATCTACGTGACTTTACCGAAAGACCCAAGAATATGAATTCCTGCAGCCACGAAAGCTTTAAGCTACGAGACCACTCAAACACTGCAATTATTTGTTATATTCTTTGAACCCATCTACGTGACTTTACCGACAGACCCAAGAATATGGTCTCGTAGCGTGGTGTATTTCGTCTAAATTCTGGTCAATCTGTAATTGTTTTCAAACTATTCTATAAACTATGTTTTTTTTTAAATTTTGCCAGGTAAGGCCCACTGAACTACACAGCTCTTTTTCAGAAACGACCTGGCGATCACACATGTTAGCCCAACCTAGTGGCTTACCACGAGGAAATGTACAACAGCCAAATACTCTAAAACGCGTGATGTTGATTCTAAATGTGGAGGGGAAAAACCAGAAGACCCGGAGAAAAAAAATCCACGCGACCACGGGGAGAGAGAGAGAAACAGGTAAACTTCAAGTATACAATCTTGATTAGAAGTTTTAGTGACTGCAGGAATCCACATTCTTTACTTCTTTCGGTAAAGTCACGTAGGTATAAAATAAAATAAATCACGACGTTTCGATCGCAACACAAGCGGTCGTCCTCAGGCGGAAAAAATATCATCCAGCGGTGGAACTGCTGAACCAACAGGTGTCAGGGTCGGGATCGAACCCACGACCTCCTGTATACCAGGGGAGGGCGTTGACATCTCATAGCCACCGCGGCGACCATCTGAGCGTGGTACACGCCCTGCATTGCCTGCATGGCCTACCCAAACTGTGTAGAGGGGAGATGGTGAAGGTGCAGCCCTGCAGTTACTCTTTGGTTCTTTCGGTAAAGTCAAGTAGAAAGAAAATACTCTTATGTTTTTTCAGGTAAAGTCACGTAGGTAAAAAATAAAATTAATGGAAACAAAATAAAAGAATGTGATTTATTATTATTTTATTTTGTTTCTATTAATTTTATTTTTTACCTACGTGACTTTACCGAAAAAACCTAAGAGTATGAATCCTTGCAGTCACGAAAGCTTCAAATCTAGAAAGAAAGAAAATAAATTAAATAATAGAGTACGACGTTTCGATTGCAACACAAGCAACCGTCATCAGGTAGAACGACATTTGAGAGAGAGACAAAACACAGACACACAGACAGACACACAAGCAGAGAGACAACACAGAGACACACAGAGAGAGACACACAACATAGACACACAGAGAGAGACACAAGCAGAGACACACAGAGAGACACACAGAGAGACACACAGAGACACACACAGAGACAACACAGAGACACACAGAGAGATACAACACAGAGACACACAGAGAGAGACACACAGAGACACACACAGAGAGAGACACAACATAGATACAACATAGACACACAGAGACCCAATGCCTCTGTGTCGAGGCCTTAAATAGAGAGGGGGGGGGCAGAGAGAGGAGGCGCCTCGCCCCCCCCCCCCATGTAGAGTGACGTCACCCGCTAATTATTATTAATGAGGGCGGGGGGTGCTACATTTGGAGTGACGTCACCTGCTCATGATTATTAATGAGGGGGGGCTGTTCGATGTGGAGTGACGTCACCTGCTCATGATTATTAATGAGGGGGGAAGGTGCTCCATGTGGAGTGACGTCACCTGCTCATGATTATTAATGAGGGGGGAGGGTGCTCCATGTGGAGTGACGTCACCTGCTCATGATTATTAATGAGGGGGGGTGCTCCATGTGGAGAGACGTCACCTGCTCATGATTATTAATGAGGGGGGAGGGTGCTCCATGTGGAGTGACGTCACCTGCTCATGATTATTAATGAGGGGGGAGGGTGCTCCATGTGGAGTGACGTCACCTGCTCATGATTATTAATGAGGGGGGAGGGTGCTCCATGTGGAGTGACGTCACCTGCTCATGAATATTAATGAGGGGGGTGCTCCATGTGGAGTGACGTCACCTGCTCATGATTATTAATGAGGGGGGAGGGTGCTCCATGTGGAGTGACGTCACCTGCTCATGAATATTAATGAGGGGGGAGGGTGCTCCATGTGGAGTGACGTCACCTGCTCATGAATATTAATGAGGGGGGTGCTCCATGTGGAGTGACGTCACCTGCTCATGAATATTAATGAGGAGGGGTGGGGGGTTGTCCAATTGGATGACGTCATCTGTTCATGATTATTAATGAGGGGGGGTGGGGGGGTTGTCCATTTGGATGACGTCATCTGCTCATGAATATTGATGAGGGGGGGGGTGGGGGGTTGTCCAATTGGATGACGTCACCTGCTCATGATTATTAATGAGGGGGGGTGGGGGGTTGTCCAATTGGATGACGTCATCTGCTCATGAATATTAATGAGGGCTGCAGGTCAATGTGGAGTGACGTCACGAGCGTTAAGGACATTCCTGGGTGATTATCGTCGGTCTAATTAGCATTTATTTCGCCATATAACCACAAATAACAATTGTGCGTCAGTCTAGGGGGCCTTCAGAACCAACGTTTTACGGAACAATTTTGTTTTACAGATTTTTTTTTGGGACGGTGATGTCGTGAATTATACGAACCCGGAGACCTGGGTTCGATTCCGACTCACGGCCAACACCGGTGACGATTATCTGAGCCGTTCCTGGGCCTCCCCCCAGGTCGACTCGGCCTAAAATGTGGTGTGTAACCATCGCCACTGGGGAGACAAAGGCGGCCGGGCGTGGTGATGGCCACCCACCTCCTCGTGTACCGTTCGCTAACAGCACTTGCCCCTACAGTCTGTTGAGGCTACACGGGGGATTTTTGTTTCTTTTATATGCTGTATACAGGATGCCCCAAGGGGCCGTTCATAAATGACGTCACGCACCTAGGGGGAGGGGGGGGTCAGACATTTGTGACGATGTGTGACGAAGGGGGGGGGGGGGGTGAGAGATGTGACGTCACATCAAAATGCGCAACTTTAAATGAATATAGACAACACGTTCTACTTAATTAAATAGACTTTTTAATAAATGTTTTCTCCTACAACATCAGAGTGCAGCGCCACATTAAATACGCACTACAATGACAATAGTTTCAAGCGATTTGAAGCATTTTTGGGGGGGGGGGGCAGAGCTTTGTGACGTCACATTTGAGGGGGGGTTGACTTTTTGTGACGTCATATTTGAGGGGGGGGGGGGTCAAAAATCGTCCAAAATCGCGTGACGTCATTTATGGACGGACCCCAATCGCCAGGACACGTAGGGTTTTATAATACTTTGAACAAATCAAATATTTTTTTTAAACAAATGTTCAAACTAACTGCCGTTAACATTAAAACGATTGATATTTTTTCTGACATTAAAATCCAATATTTTTGTCTGGGTGCAACATTGAAGTGTTCAGCAACTGCTGCATTCTTTAGCATGTACACGTATAATAACTAGTTTAAATCGTTCATCAAGAGGAGGAGTAGGAATGATGAGGGAGGAGGAGAAATGATGATGAGGGAGGGAGGGAGGAGGAGTTGGAGGAGGAGGAGTAGGAGGAGAATGATAACGAGGGAGGGAGGGGGAGCAGGAATGATGATGATGAGGGAGGGAGGAGGAGTTGGAAGAGGAGGAGGAGGAATGATGATGAGGGAGGGAGGAGGAGTTGGAAGAGGAGGAGGAGGAGGAATGATGACGAGGGAGGGAGGAGGAGTTGGAAGAGGAGGAGGAATGATGATGAGGGAGAGAGGAGGAGGAGTTGTAGGATAAATGTTGAGGGAGACAGGAGTTGGAGGAGGAGTAGGAATGATGATGAGGGAGGGATGATGATGATGGAGGGAGGGAGCAGGAGGAGTTGGAGTAGGAGGAGGCTGAATGATGACGAGGGAGGGAGGGAGGAGTTGAAAGAGGAATGATGACGATGGAGGAGGAGGGATGATGATGAGGGAGGGAGGAGGAGGAGTAGGAGTAGGAGGAGTTGGAGAATCATGACGAGGGAGGGATGATGATGAGGGAGGGAGGAGGAGGAGGAGTTGGAGTAGGAGGAGTTGGAGAATGATGACGAGGGAGGGATGATGATGAGGGAGGGAGGAGGAGGAGGAGTAGGAGTTGGAGTAGGAGGAGGCTGAATGATGACGAGGGAGGGATGATGATGATGAGGGAGGGAGGAGGAGGAGGAGTAGGAGTTGGAGTAGGAGGAGTTGGAGAATGATGACGAGGGAGGGATGATGATGAGGGAGGGAGGAGGAGTAGGAGTTGGAGTAGGAGTTGGAGTAGGAGTTGGAGTAGGAGGAGTTGGAGAATGATGACGAGGGAGGGATGATGATGAGGGAGGGAGGAGGAGGAGGAGGAGTAGGAGTTGGAGTAGGAGTTGGAGTAGGAGGAGTTGGAGAATGATGACGAGGGAGGGATGATGATGAGGGAGGGAGGAGGAGTAGGAGTAGGAGTTGGAGTAGGAGTTGGAGTAGGAGGAGTTGGAGAATGATGACGAGGGAGGGATGATGATGAGGGAGGGAGGAGGAGTAGGAGTTGGAGTAGGAGTTGGAGTAGGAGGAGTTGGAGAATGATGACGAGGGAGGGATGATGATGAGGGAGGGAGGAGGAGGAGGAGTAGGAGTTGGAGTAGGAGGAGGCTGAATGATGACGAGGGAGGGATGATGATGAGGGAGGGAGGAGGAGGAGTAGGAGGAGTTGGAGAATGATGACGAGGGAGGGATGATGATGAGGGAGGGAGGAGGAGGAGGAGGAGTAGGAGTTGGAGTAGGAGGAGTTGGAGAATGATGACGAGGGAGGGATGATGATGAGGGAAGAGGAGTAGGAGTTGGAGTAGGAGGAGGCTGAATGATGACGAGGGAGGGATGATGATGAGGTAGGGAGGAGGAGGAGGAGGAGTTGGAGTAGGAGGAGTTGGAGAATGATGACGAGGGAGGGATGATGATGATGAGGGAGGGAACAGGAGGAGTTGGAGTAGGAGTTGGAGTAGGCTGAATGATGACGAGGGAGGGATGATGATGAGGGAGGGAAGAGTAGGAGGAGTTGGAGAATGATGACGAGGCAGCAGCAGGAGGAGGAGCATTCGCAGGAGGCTGAAACACGACCCCCGGTGTCGTCACACAAAGCGAACTCAGCTGACAGCCATTTTCAGACCGCCTCCTCCTCCTGCTGCTCCTGGTCACCGGTCGAGCGAGAGACATCGATCCCGGTGCGTAACAACGTCCTTGGTCACGTCTGTCGTGGTGATGGTGGTGGTGTTGTTGTTGTGGTGCTGTTGTTGTTGAGAGTAAACAAACAACGACAACGAAAGGCGACGCGTTTATCTGTCGGCTGTGGGAATTTATTGTGGAGAGAGCCATCATCGGGGCTGGCTCTGTTGTGTCGTGTGTCCCCCTCCCCCCCCCCCCCCCGTGTGTTGTTGTTGTTGTGGCTCTTGTTTGTTTGTGTTTTGCTGGTGGTGGGAGGGTGGGACAGGGAGGGGGGGTTAAAATGAACTTCACTCAAATTTTTTGGGGCTTTTAAGCTCCCCCCAACTTCAACCCCCGTCGTCGTCGTCGTCTCACCACCGACCGGCTGTAAATGTGACACCACCACAACCACCATCACCACCATCACAACCATCATCACAACCACCACCATCACAACCATCATCACAACCACCATCACAACCATCACAACCATCATCACAACCACCATCACAACCACCATCACAACCACCATCACAACCATCATCACAACTACCATCACAACCATCACAACCATCATCACAACCACCATCACAACCATCATCACAACTACCATCACAACCATCACAACCATCATCACAACCACCATCACAACCACCATCACAACCATCATCACAACCACCATCACAACCACCATCACAACCACCACCACAACCATCATCACCACCACAACCATCACAACCACCACCATCACAACCATCATCACCATCCCAACCATCATCACCACCACAACCATCACAACCACCACCATCACAACCATCACAACCATCATCACCATCACAACCATCATCACCACCACAACCATCACAACCACCACCACAACCACCATAACCATCACAACCACCACCATCACAACCACCACCATCACAACCATCACGACCACCACCATCACAACCACCATCACAACCATCACCACAACCACCATCACCACCACCATCACCACCATCACAACCATCACAACCATCATCACAACCATCATCACAACCACCATCACAACCATCATCACAACCACCGTCACAACCACCATCACAACCACCACCACAACCATCACAACCACCACCATCACAACCATCATCACCATCCCAACCATCATCACCATCCCAACCATCATCACCACCACAACCATCATCACCACCACAACCATCACAACCACCACCACCACAACCACCATAACCATCACAACCACCATAACCATCACAACCACCACCATCACAACCACCACCATCACAACCATCACAACCACCACCATCACAACCATCACCACAACCACCATCACCACCACCATCACCACCATCACAACCATCACAACCGCCATCACAACCACTACAACCACCATCACAACCACCACCATTACAGCCACCATCACCACCATCACAACCACCACAGCCACCACCATCACAACCACCACCATCATCATCACAACCATCATCACAATCATCACAACCACCATCACAACCACTACAACCACCATCACAACCATCACAACCACCATCACAACCATCACAACCACCACCACAACCACCATAACAACCACCATCATCACTACCACCACCACAACCACCATCACTACAACCACCACAACCACCATCACAACCACCACCATCACAACCACCACCATCACAACCACCACCATCACAACCACCATAACTACCATCATCACAACCACCATAACTACCATCATCACAACCACCACCATCATCACAACCACCATCATCACAACCATCATAACCACCATCACAACCACCATCACAACCACCATCACAACCACCATCACAACCACCACCATCACAACCACCACCATCACAACCACCACCATCACAACCACCACCATCACAACCACAACCATCACAACCACTACCATCACAACCACCATCACAACCGCCATCCATCGACTTCTGTCTTCTTTTACGCAACCACCCTATTGCACATATTTGTTTTCTTAGTTACCACGATCACCACCATAATCACCGACACCGCCATAACCACCGACACCACCACAATCACCGACACCACCACAATCACCGACACCACCATAACCACCGACACCACCATAATCACCGACACCATCGCTTAATCCATGACCGATGTCACCACCGTCACTGCCTTTCATTATTTATAACACAAACATCACAATCGATACACCCAACTTCATCACCACCACCATCGATATATAATAGACCACCATCAACGTTACCGCCATCGTCACCGTCACGACCTGCATCCATCCCCTCCATCACCACCACCACTACTACTACTACATCTCTTACAACTGATATCACCACCACCATCACAACCAACAATACACTACCTTCCACACCATTACTACCATCATCACCTTCATAATTACCACCATCGCTACAATACCATCACTAAGGAATCATCACCACCACCATCACGTCCACACCTTCATCACCACCTTTGCCTCTTCCAGGTCAATCTAAGGAAGGAGTCGGCCCTCCGGTCACAGCGGAGTTGGCATCGCGTGTCCACCACCCATCATCCACCTTGTGAGTGATGGAGGGGAGGGAGTGGGCTGGGTGAGTTGGTGAGTGGATGGAGGCCGAGTGTGTGTGTGGGGTGAGTGAGCGAGTAGATTCAATGGATGATGAAGCGGTGTCGGTGAGAGTGAGGTTGAGTGAGTGAATTGGGCGTTTAAGCGGTTAGGCAAGCGAGTGAGTGAGCTAGTAAGTCGGTGAGTAGTTGTGCGTGTGTGATTTTAGTGAGTTGGTGAGTGGATAACAGAACGGTTTGCGGAGTGGGCGAATGAGCGGGTGAGTTGGTTTACGATTTAGCGAATAGACGGGTGAGCGAGCAGTCTGATCAAACAACTAATCCACCATTTATGGTCTCTTGTCACCCTCCCAAGCTCCAGCGCCGTCGGAAGTTGCGGAGGAGACACGAGGCTGTGGGGGGCGGCCCGGGTGGTGGTGGTTTGGTGGTCGATCTCCAAGAGAAGGAGGCCGGGGGGGGGTGGAAGGAGACTCAGCGGCTCGGAGAGAAGAGGACTTGAGGTGACCCCTGGAGAGAGGATTTGGAAGAGACTCGGGCCGATGGCGTCCCCACGGGGACCAGGATCGTCCTCTCAGAAGGCACTCCTGCGGGAGCTCAAGGGTGTCCAGCAGGACGAGCCAATGGAGGGCTTTGCCATCACCCTGGTGGACGAGGCGGACCTCTATGTTTGGGAGGTCGCGATATTCGGGCCGCCAAACACCCTCTACGAGGGCGGATACTTTAAGGTGACCTGCTGGCTGGCTGTCCTCCTCCGCTTTGTCGGTGCTTGTGGCGGTGGTGGATTGATCGTTTTGGCTGTCGATTTCTTTTTTCTACATGAAAGTTCAAGTTTAGTTCAAGTTTATTTTATTGGACCAGGTTGAGGGCTCAAGAGGCCAGGTGGTCTACGTTTAACACGGTTGGCTACGGACGGTGGGAAAAAAGTTCAACATGCATACACAAACATTCACGAGAGTGACTTGGCTCATCAACATATACACACAATACATTTGCTGTATTGATCTGACTCATCAACACATACTGATCTGACTCATCAACACATAGTGATTTCTGGCTCATTCACACACACACTACATTTTCTATACTGATCTGACTCATCAACACATTAATCTGACTCATCAACACACAATACATTTGCTGTATTGATCTGACTCATCAACACATACTGATCTGACTCATCAACACATAGTGATTTCTGGCTCATTCACACACACACTACATTTTCTATACTGATCTGACTCATCAACACATTAATCTGACTCATCAACACACAATACATTTGCTATACTGATCTAACTCATCAACACACAATACATTTGCTAATGTGATCTGACTTATCAACACATACTGATCTAACTCATCAACACACACAATACATTTGCTATATTGATCTAACTAATCAACACACAATACATTTGCTATATTGATCTAACTCATCAACACACAATACATTTGTTATATTGATCTAACTCATCAACACACAATACATTTGCTATATTGATCTAACTCATCAACACACACAATACATTTGCTATATTGATCTAACTCATCAACACACACAATACATTTGCTATAGTGATCTAACTCATCAACACACACAACACATTTGTTATACTGATCTAACTCATCAACACACACAATACATTTGTCATAGTGATCTGACTCATCAACACACACAATACATTTGCTATAGTGATCTGACTCATCAACACACACAATACATTTGCTATAGTGATCTAACTCATCAACACACACAACACATTTGCTATATTGATCTGGTTCATCAAAACACAATACATTTGCTAAATTGATCTGATTCATCAACACATTAATCTGACTCATCAACACACAATACATTTGTTATAGTGATCTGAGTCATCAACACACACAATACATTTGCTATAGTGATCTAACTCATCAACACAAACAAACACATTTGTTATATTGATCTGACTCATGAACACACACACTACATTTGCTATACTGATCTGACTCATCAACACATTAATCTAACTCATCAACACACAATACATTTGCTATAGTGATCTAACTCATGAACACACACAACACATTTGCTATAGTGATCTAACTCATGAACACACACACTACATTTGCTATACTGATCTGACTCATCAACACATTAATCTAACTCATCAACACACAATACATTTGCTATAGTGATCTAACTCATGAACACACACACTACATTTGCTATACTGATCTGACTCATCAACACATTAATCTAACTCATCAACACACAATACATTTGCTATAGTGATCTAACTCATGAACACACACACTACATTTGCTATACTGATCTGACTCATCAACACATTAATCTAACTCATCAACACACAATACATTTGCTATAGTGATCTAACTCATGAACACACAATACATTTGCTATAGTGATCTAACTCATCAACACACACAACACATTTGCTATAGTGATCTAACTCATCAACACACACAATACATTTGTTATATTGATCTAACTAATCAACACACAATACATTTGTTATACTGATCTAACTCATCAACACACACAATACATTTGTTATACTGATCTAACTCATCAACACACACAATACATTTGCTATACTGATCTAACTCATGAACACACACAACACATTTGCTATAGTGATCTAACTCATCAACACACACAACACATTTGCTATAGTGATCTAACTCATCAACACACACAACACATTTGCTATAGTGATCTAACTCATCAACACACACAACACATTTGCTATAGTGATCTAACTCATGAACACACACACTACATTTGCTATACTGATCTGACTCATCAACGCATTAATCTAACTCATCAACACACAATACATTTGCTATAGTGATCTAACTCATCAACACACAACACATTTGCTATAGTGATCTAACTCATCAACACACAACACATTTGCTATAGTGATCTAACTCATCAACACACAACACATTTGCTATAGTGATCTAACTCATCAACACACACAACACATTTGCTATATTGATCTAACTCATCAACACACAATACATTTGCTATATTGATCTGACTCATCAACACATTAATCTAACTCATCAACACACAATACATTTGCTATAGTGATCTAACTCATGAACACACACAACACATTTGCTATAGTGATCTAACTCATCAACACACACAATACATTTGCTATAGTGATCTAACTCATGAACACACACAATACATTTGCTATAGTGATCTAACTAATCAACACACACAACACATTTGCTATAGTGATCTAACTCATCAACACACACAATACATTTGTTATATTGTTCTGACTCATCAACACACACAATACATTTGCTATAGTGATCTAACTCATCAACACACACAATACATTTGCTATAGTGATCTAACTCATCAACACACACAATACATTTGCTATAGTGATCTAACTCATCAACACACACAACACATTTGCTATATTGTTCTGACTCATCAACACACACAATACATGTTCTATATTGATCTAACTAATCAACACACACAATACATTTGTTATTGATCTAACTCATCAACACACGCAATACATTTGCTATAGTGATCTAACTCATCAACACACACAACACATTTGCTATATTGATCTGGTTCATCAAAACACAATACATTTGCTATATTGATCTGATTCATCAACACATTAATCAGACTCATCAACACAACACATCTGCTATATTGATCTAACTCATCAACACACACAATACATTTGCTATATTGATCTAACTCATCAACACACAATACATTTGTTATACTGATCTAACTCATCAACACACACAATACATTTGTTATACTGATCTAACTCATCAACACACAATACATTTGCTAATGTGATCTGACTTATCAACACATACTGATCTAACTCATCAACACACACAATACATTTGCTATATTGATCTAACTAATCAACACACAATACATTTGCTATAGTGATCTGACTCATCAACACACACAATACATTTGTTATACTGATCTAACTCATCAACACACAATACATTTGCTATATTGATCTAACTAATCAACACACAATACATTTGCTATAGTGATCTGACTCATCAACACACACAATACATTTGTTATACTGATCTAACTCATCAACACACAATACATTTGCTATATTGATCTAACTCATCAACACACAATACATTTGTTATATTGATCTAACTCATCAACACACAATACATTTGCTATATTGATCTAACTCATCAACACACACAATACATTTGCTATATTGATCTAACTCATCAACACACACAATACATTTGCTATAGTGATCTAACTCATCAACACACACAACACATTTGTTATACTGATCTAACTCATCAACACACACAATACATTTGTCATAGTGATCTGACTCATCAACACACACAATACATTTGCTATAGTGATCTGACTCATCAACACACACAATACATTTGCTATAGTGATCTAACTCATCAACACACACAACACATTTGCTATATTGATCTGGTTCATCAAAACACAATACATTTGCTAAATTGATCTGATTCATCAACACATTAATCTGACTCATCAACACACAATACATTTGTTATAGTGATCTGAGTCATCAACACACACAATACATTTGCTATAGTGATCTAACTCATCAACACAAACAAACACATTTGTTATATTGATCTGACTCATCAACACACACAATGCATTTGTTATATTGATCTAACTCATCCACACACACAATACATTTGCTATAGTGATCTAACTCATCAACACACACAATACATTTGCTATAGTGATCTAACTAATCAACACACACAACACATTTGCTATAGTGATCTAACTCATCAACACACACAATACATTTGTTATATTGTTCTGACTCATCAACACACACAATACATTTGCTATAGTGATCTAACTCATCAACACACACAATACATTTGCTATAGTGATCTAACTCATCAACACACACAATACATTTGCTATAGTGATCTAACTCATCAACACACACAACACATTTGCTATATTGTTCTGACTCATCAACACACACAATACATGTTCTATATTGATCTAACTAATCAACACACACAATACATTTGTTATTGATCTAACTCATCAACACACGCAATACATTTGCTATAGTGATCTAACTCATCAACACACACAACACATTTGCTATATTGATCTGGTTCATCAAAACACAATACATTTGCTATATTGATCTGATTCATCAACACATTAATCAGACTCATCAACACAACACATCTGCTATATTGATCTAACTCATCAACACACACAATACATTTGCTATATTGATCTAACTCATCAACACACAATACATTTGTTATACTGATCTAACTCATCAACACACACAATACATTTGTTATACTGATCTAACTCATCAACACACACAATACATCTGCTATAGTGATCTAACTCATCAACACACACAACACATTTGTTATATTGATCTAACTCATCAACACACACAACACATTTGCTATACTGATCTAACTCATCAACACACACAACACATTTGATATATTGATCTGACTCATCAACACAATCAATACATTTGATATATTGATCTGACTCATCAACACATACTGATCTGACTCATCAACACAGTGATTTCTGGCTCATCCACACACACTACATTTGCTATACTGATCTGACTCATCAACGCATTAATCTAACTCATCAACACACAATACATTTGCTATAGTGATCTAACTCATGAAC